TGGATTCAGACAGATTTTTCTTCTGATATTAAGTGTGGCTTTCATTTTGTAACAAGCAGATCAATGCAGGTAGGTTTTAATGGGATTCAATAAAACAAGAATTTACTCCTAAATCTTGTTCTCATTTCACATTGAAATGGGCTCAATAAATATCATCATTTGTTGTATTTTACCTTGTATTATACTAAATTAACTATAGAGAATATATTTCTCTACAAACTATTTTGCTTATGTTAAGTGTGTGACAGATAACCACCAGATGGAGTGAGAGATTAGCATTGAACCTACTGTACCTACCGTGCCTTTGTGAACTTGAACTATTATTGGACATAGTGTGTCTCACTAATGCAAAGCGTGAACAGCCATGCATGAACCAACATGAGCAGAATCTGGGGTACGCAAGAAATAGAGAGCTGAAGGGTTTTCCACTGCATGGTACCAGCTCTACTTGCCTTTTTTTGGTTTTCCATTATAGAAAAGTTGTATCTGTACCTGCTTTCAGGTACTTTTTTTTGTATTACCGTATTATGAGGTTCCAAGCGAGCTGAGGGATACTAAAATGTAACGTGAAAACACGACAGACTGCTGATTGGTCAGAGAGAATGTTCACTATTCACTGCATCATCATTGCTGCACCAGACAGGCCAGCAACAGAAAGTTTTATATTTTACAGTTTTCATACTTTATTTCATCACTAAATCCACTTCTGAGAAGTAGATTTTGAATATTTACAGTTTTACAAGAAGTGATGGCCGAACAAAAATGTGCTTGAAAGTTTTCGGAGTTGTAGAGCTTCACAAGTGGCTTCGGGGGAAGCCTGCGCCAACCTGTGGGAGGAGCTTGCTAGGCCGGCCAGCCGCCCGCTCACAGAGCCCTCTGCTCCCACCGTCACACAGACCGCTGCAGCAACAACGGCAGAGGAAAACACAGCTGTCCGCTTATCTGTCTTTACATTCTGAGCAATGTTGAAAACGTTTTAACTTAAATCAAGAGACAGCTGTGTGTGGGTCGCTGGTGTGTGTGGCGTCGCTATGACGACCAGCTACATTGAGGGGTACTATCTCTGGGTACTAATTCAATTCATATTAGCTTTATTGGCATGAATGTGTAACAACAACAATATTGCCAAAGCATCATACAAACTACATCAACAATCAACCCCATACATTTCATTAAACACGTAATTAAAGCGTAAAGTAATCAAAGCGTATGTGTGTTTGTGTTAAAAAAATATTAAAAATTAAAATAAAATAAATAAATAAAAAAGTAAGCGTGTGTGTGTGTTAAAAAAATAAAAAAATAAAAAATAAAACAGTAAGCTTGTGTGTGTTAAAAAAATATTTAAAAAATTAAAAAATAAATAAAACAGTACTATCTGCAATGGAAAACGGAGGACGGCCAAACCGAGGCGAGGCGAGCTGGTACTGGTAATTTTCACACTCTCTCACACTTTGCACACAAACAGGGTTTTTTTTAATACTCAGAAAGAAAAACAATCATTTGAGGAAGTTACACATGTAAAGACTTGTGTGTGTGTGTGTGTGTGAGCTCATTTTGGGACATACTGCAAATCAGTTTATGCAGTCACCTTCTGGGGACTCCCCTTCCTTTTTGGGAGAAAATCCAAGTTAGGGTGTCTTGGTTTAAGGTTAAGGTAATGTTAGACTAGGGTTGTGGTTAGGGCAAGTTGCCAGGAAATGAACGTCCTATGAAGTGAAGTAAGTATGACTCTGTGTGTGTGTGTGTTGAGGGCAGTTGCGGAGGAAACAAAGGGGGAGGGCAAGTTGTGAAACGTGATGGAAACACAAACCTCATCCTGGGCCAAAGAGACACATGGACAAAGAGAGGGGTGGATAAAAGGAAGATGGAGGTAAAAAAAAGGAGGGAGCCTTCCGACCGGTCCACATTACGCCATCCTGTATTTTCTCTCCTTCCTCCTCACCTCCTGCTTCATTGTCTCTCCGGTCCACAAACTCATGTCTCCTTCATCTCAGCCTTTAACATCTCCTGTTTTTGTCAGCTTCATCTCTTCCTTCCTCTTTTTCTTTGTCTCTCATGCTCTCCTTCTCTTGCCCGTCTCCCTCCCTCCCTCCCTGTATCTTTTATTCTTCTCCCTCCTCTCTTGACTCCCTCTCAGTGACCGCTGACCCCCGTGACATAGTTTTCCTAAAACTCTCGCCGGTCTGAAAACAGAGAAGCAATGTCTTGGTTTCTGTTGGCTTAATGAGGCCACATTCTTTCATACATTACATGAAGTGGGTTAAATATGATACAGAGCCCTATTGAGCCTGCATATATTGAATCCAGCTATATATACCTTTTGGAATCCACAAGGCTGGAGCTTCTTTGAAAGTTAAGAGGAGCAGGTTTTATTGTTAGTCAATCAATGATGTGGTTGATTGGGTTAAACTCTGACATGATGATGTTTTTCTGCCCAAACATAATCCCAAAGAAGTAAAAGGATGTGCACAGCGGGAATGCTTCACTCTTGATTTATGGATCTATCTAATTAGGCAGCATACCAAAAGCTCACGAGGCAATATTAAGACAAGTAGATGTTGGGGATTGCGTTGCATTTGCTTGAAGAGGATCACATGTTCATTCTGAAGATATAAGAAATTGATAAAATTAATGTTCCAGGCACCCCTCCCCCTCCCCCCCTCCCCCCCCCCACCATACACACACACACACAAACTGCTAGGCTATTTGACCCCACCTGCTGAGTTTTCAGTCAACCAATGAGAATACGTCTGCCTCCAGAGCAGCTCTCCCACAACAACCAATGAAACAAAGTTTGTTTTGAAGGAAAAACAAAAACAAAACTGAGCTTTGACAAATTAAGAGAGGAGAAAGAAGAGGACAACAGATAAAACAAAGGAAAGACACTTGTAATACAGATACAGCAATAATACAGGTCAGTTCTGTCCTTGTAACATTTGTTTGTTAAGAAAGATGCAACAGGTTAAATACGGTTAGTTGCAAAAGCTAAATTTTTTAGTGGGTTATTTCGGGTCAGTACACAGACAAAATAAGCACAGTAAATTGTGGAAATTACCTGACCCCAACCTACAAGGAGCTAAATCCACATGAAAACGTCACCCACAAGGTAAACACACACATTTAAATCTGGGCCCCTGTGGATGCAGGGCCCCATTGCTCCGGATAAGGGGAGCCCCAGACTCAGCAGGACAGGACAGTGTTTTGAGGAGGAACAACACCCGCTGGCAGGTTGGAGGGGTACTACAGATTGATGTGTGTGTGAAACCAGCCGAACTAAACATTGTGCAGTGGCGGGTTTATTGTGCGGTGACTCCCAGCTGCAGATTCATGTGTCTGCGCACCGCCTGGGGACTCTCGTATGAACAGACAATAAATTTAACTATCGTCAAAAGTTAAAAGGAAAGTTTTGAATGGTGGGCTGACAGGTTGCCCTTTCCACTTTCTTTGGAATATAAAACAAACTCTATTAAGCTGTTCCTATAGAGACATATATGGAGTTAGACCATCAACGTTTTTATGTATAAATAGTATTACTGATACTATTATTGTTCTTATGCCCCATGTTATTTAATATGTCAGTCAGCATATTTTTCGACTGAGTATGTCTGTCATGTTGAGATAATTACAGTATAAATGTTGTGTTATAATAATGTTACCTTGTTACCGGAACTACGTAGGTGGCAGCTATAGTTGCTAGTCCTGTTGCTGATAGTGATCACTGATTGGCTCTGGTGTGGGCTCAAAAAGTTTGTCTGCGCTTAAGTTAGAGCATTCAGATGTTACAAGTAATATTGCCATCCTCCACAGTAAAGAGGTAGAGATGTTATATTCCTTGTCCAAGTAATCCTTCCTGCTGCAAGTCGACATCTAAATATCTCCGTTGTCTAGTAACACATACATGTATATACGATATTTGCATAAATGTATATATATATATATATATATATATATATATATATATATATATATATATATATAATGTGTCCTTCTTTTTTGAAATTGGGGTGGTTACTATTTTTCTTTCATGTGCAAAGGTAATTTATTCCAATTCCTGGCACCACAGAACGCACATCCAATATTTCAATTGCAGGTGCACCAGCAACTTCTTCTCACTCTCAAGTCGTATATAGATCGTATAAACATATGGATGCATGGTCAAGACCCCTTAGTGATAGTTTGTAACGTACTGGGAAGCCCTTTAGCATCATAGTTCAATGCAGTGGGGTAAGCCCTGTGGCATCTTCTATGCACGCTGAAAGCAAATGTATGATATAATTAACAAAAAATGACAAATATGGAGAATCAAGCATCCGTATGGTGTTGGCTCCAGAGTGGGGCTAGACATGGTAAAAATTAAGAAAGTCCTGCACATTGCTCTTGCTGTCAAATTAAACTTAAATTTGAACACTTGATTTTTTGACCTTTTAAAGAATCTCATCTTATAGACAGTCTAGTGAAGGTCTGACCCCCTGAAACTTTAAAAGTACAGAGTATTAAAAATGGAAACACATTCCACCACGGGGCCAGTGTTTGGTGAATTAATTCGTCCTGGTCATCCAGTGCTGTCCATTCACAGCAGGACCATGTGTATTCGCCTATACACCACCGAGTTCCCCTCCTTGCAGGCGGACATGGCACAGCCTCACAGAGATGCACCGACATTATCCATTCACTGCACACTTGCCAACGCAAAACTCCTTGAAGCCAAGTGCAAAAGAAAAGAGCCCTGTTTTTTTTCTGTCTTTGATTTGTAAATACCTCCGTTTCAGTAAAACAACTTCCAGACTTGTATCTTATAACCATCAAACATTTACATGAGAAAGTTGACAAAGGCTGAAACAGCGGAGGTGGCCTCGCAACAAAGGGGCCCATTTATAGTGTACAGTTGGGTAGAGACACGGAGAGGGAGGGTAGGAGGAGAAGCTGGGAGGAGAGTTGAATTAATGAATTAAAAATGTTGTGAAACAGCAGCTGTCTGAATACGTTTGGGTTTATATAGAGAGGCGTGCAGGGGGGTCCTGGAGGAGTGGACGGCACAAGCTTCTTTAACTTCTCTCTGTGCGGACACACAGGGCTTCTTCTCAGCTCCACATGCAAGAAGTGCAAACTGTGGTCATCTGATTACATAATGACCCAATAACAGTGAGCCAGAACCGGTACTGCCAGTACCAGTGTGCTGGGAGACACAGACTGACCGATGGTTAATCCTCATCCATGCCTCTCTTCTGACGGGTTTCATGCCTTTTTTACAGAGAGTTTTTCTTTTTTTAAACATAGGATGACAACAGACAACAACAGGGAGACCGCAAAAGACAAACATGCAAGCAATGTGATGTCAAAGTGAGAGGTGATTTAAAACATGCTTGAGCTATCAACAAGGTTGCGTCATCCAAAACCGTGAGATTTTGTAATCTTTTTGCTGTCTGTCTTTTTCACATGTCTGCTGAACAGTGAAACTAATTAAATTTTCCAAGTTTCTAAGCTGTGGTCACAGTGAACTTCTGTTACAAGTCAACAGGAAGGTAAGAGATACAAACACTTTCAAATCAGTCTATTTGTTTTCCTTTTTATTAAGACGCCAAAGGATTTAAAAAATTTTTAATGAAAATAATGTTGAGATCGGACAGCTTATTTGCCTTGTTTGCAGGCCAAGTGTTGGTGTCATTACTGTGTTTTTTCTACTTAGCCTGCCTATTACCAATTTCAATGTCATCAAACGTACCCCGTGAAAAAAATCCCTACAACATTCCTATATGTACGCATACTGTGTCTCTCGTAGTGGACTTTGTTGTTATGTTCCTGTAATACTGCACTGTGATATTCCTCTAACAATACTCTTGTTTTTGGCTGTGATGTTATTCTTGTCTCCTAATGATATCTAGTTGTGAAGTCTGTAAGACTTGTAATGTGGGATTAATCAGAGGAAAACATACTGTATATCATTGAACTGCAAGGCTTGAGGTTAACAGTCAAACAGGTGCTCAGCCCTGCTGCATCTACTGCCCTTTGTTTACAGCACGGAGATTATTATAGTATGTAACAACAGAGAAGGTTCCACTATCAAATCTCTACCGCTACACAATTATCTGGTTCATATTACAACATTAGTGGCATTATTAGGCAAAAATCCATGAATGAATCCTAATACTTTACTGGAAGTGTTGCAGTCAGAGATAATTTTTAAAATAAAAGTTTAGCTAACTTAAGTCTCCACATCCTGCACCTGTCATGGATGATTAATATGGTTTTCCTAACAATTTCTACTAAATATCTAGATGCAAAACAAAAGGAAGAAACTTTGGCTGTAGCCATGCGGGAAGAACAATACAAGTTGTAGGACAGTGCTCATACTAGCACAGTGGAAAGAACAGGTGTGATGGTGTTTTGACTCTAAAGTTGACTCGGAAGCCTTCAGTCAAAACAAAGCACTGGTTCTCATTGAGGAATCCTCATCAGCACCAACAACAGTTTAAACGAGTCAGATTTACAGCAGAGAGACAGATCATGGGCTACTACGACCTCCAACGAACATGGTAAAAGTCAGTCCTAAATCACAGCCTAGTGGCCAACAGCTGCTCTCCATTGTTTTATTTGGGTCAATGTCGTAACTCTTAAGTACTAATTCTGGGCAGCGGAAGTGGAGGCGAGTGGTTTAGGGAAGTGTTAGATTTAGATGGAGATTTGGACAGACACACACAGACACACTGAGACAAATGTCTGGGTGCCATGACTACTTATGTGCACATGGAACTCAGACGATGTAGCGGCTACAATACAGATACACTGAATGTAAGTTAAAGTTGCAGTGGCGGAGAATTACGTTTATATACAACTAAAATACTTAACATGAGTTATATTTAGGCTGAAAATAATTGCTGCCTTGATTACACTGTAATATAGGAGGAAGTTAAAGTGTCTGCTTCAACCAAAGTGTTTGTGGATGGCCCCACACCTTTCCTATGTTGGAATTGGGGGACTACATCTGACAATTATTGTGGCTTTCAGAAATAGTCAATTGGCCCACTTCATGCAGCCATTGGCCAGGTGTGCAAAGGTGGAGAAAGCAGGCAGGATTTGAACTCTCAAGTGTTCTTTTGTCATTTTTCAAACATTTTTCTGAAAATTATCTCCTTTTGAAAGATTATCACATATCTCTATGAAGACAAGCTTTTCACACCACCTTCGAGGGTGGCTATAATCAAACCAGAACATAATACACACTAGTTCTTTTCTAGCACACTGACATCTTTATGCACCCAAATTGAGTTTCTGAGGGAGCACTGAAGGGAGGAGGGAATTTGTCTGACAGTTGAGTTTATACATCAAGAATCCTTCTGCAGAAAAACTTAGGCTACTCTCTCCCTTTAAAGGTTCAGTGTTTAACAGAAATTCAATATGATAAACATAACCATTTCAGTGGTGTATGAAGACCGCTATGGTTTTATTACCTTAGAATGAGACATTTCTATGTACATACATCGCGGGTCCTCTTACATGGATGTCACCATGTTGCACCGGCATGTTTCTACAGTAGTCCAAATGGACAAACGGCTCTTCAGATTGCGTTTCGTCACTGTCGAGAATAGTCTGAATCTTTTTTTTTCTCCTAAAAATCTAACTTATAAACCTTTATAAAGTGTGCTTATTTAAGGCTGTCAAGTGAAAACGGAATATTTAAGTGTTCATTTGTGGATTGTGAAATTCTCCTAACTAAAAATCATTGGATTATCAGAAAATAGCATTGTAACAAAGCTGAAAATAGGAAAAAAATTTCTAGCTTGTGAAAAGTTGTTGTTTTGGAGACATAAGGTTTTCAAAGGAGGGGAAAGTTGCTTGTGAGACACTTCAAACATATAGGAGACATCTGAAAAGTACATGATGGTAAACCTAAAGTTAACTAAAACCTAAAGTTACTGTACAGTGTTTCTGCATTTACTTGTTTTAGCAACAAACTTCCCGTCTACACCAGAAGTGGAAACTCATGTGGTTAGTTTCACAATTACATACAGTTCAGTTATCCATGACTGGGGCTTTTCATTGTGTCACAAGCAAATTTTTCATTGTTATATTATTAGTATATATTAGTTGAACAGAAAGTTGTATTTTAATTCAGATGTTAAAATCAGCTTCCAGACCAATTACAGCAAACATCTTCTGTTTTAGTGATTGTTTGTGGCAACTGCAAATAATATTAATTACTATAAGATGTTAACAATAACCTGCATCATTGTATTGATAAATGAAACATCTTGTGTTCTTGCACTTTTTCACCACATAAACATCCAGCTAATGTATTGCTGCAATACACAGTAAGTCTAGGTGAGCTAGCTGTAAGCTTGTTAACGCTGTAAGTATAACTTTGTGCCAAAGATTGATACCTTTGCGGAATAAGGTGGTATCAGGTCACATGACCTCCTCATAGATATGGCTACTAGGTTTAAGAAACGTAGGCTGTCTGAACTAATCAGGACCACAACATTTTATTTGTATTTACTGTAGCAATGGAATCAATACAAAGCACGGCTAAAGAAGAGGCTCTCTTTTATCGAGATTGTCTGAAATCATTCTCTGTAAAGTGTATTTAAAGACACAGTGATACAACAGCAGCTCATTTGTATGGCAATGTGCGGTGCTTAGTTTGGCTCCAGTAAGTTTGTGGTTCTAACGTTTTGTGTTGGCTGAGCAGATGCCTTCTTGGCATGGCCTGTGTTGATGTTAGACGGTCCTTTCAGTCCAGTGCAGAGGCTGCTGTGGTGTGGACAGTGGTCACAGCCATTCAAGTCGTGTTGTATTGAGTCTTTTCACTGCAGTGTACTGGCTGCTGGGGGTTCTTTATGGCTGTGGACACTGGACAGGGGCTCTGAGTAGAAGGGATTACTCTCTCCTCTGGAATACTAATGACCGTCTTTTGTCACCGATCTGTTTTCTCCACCTTCACTTCACATATGCCTTCCTCTCTCTCCTTCACCATCCATTTCTCTCCCTCTTCCTCATTCACTCCTTTTGTCACCCGAAACCAATTATTCTCTCTCTTCTTCCTACCATCTATGCCTCCTCACAATGTCAAGCACTGCATACTCACACACGATCAAACACAGTTGCAAACACACACACACACACACACACACACCACACACACTTTGACGCTTCGTACCGCTCTCCTCTCCCCGTCTAAGTTGCTCCCTCTTTCACTCACTCGCTCACTCAGTCGTATTTTTCAATGGTGGCTTTTGTCCCTTTCATCTCCTTGAAAACAAAGGATTCTTGTGCGCACAGGACAGAGGGAAGGAGACGGATGGAGAGCCGGACAGAGAGGAAGAGATCCTAACCTTGAGTGTGGTCGTTCAACGAGTGGGAAAAGTCATTTTACAAGAGAGGGAATCCATCAGTATTACCATCACAGATATCGTTTTGCTTCAAACTGATCCCATGAAAAGACCAAAACCAACAATGAATTGAACCTTCAAGCAAATATTGTCAGTCTTATTAATAATGGATTTCCACTCATCAGGTGGTCAGGAACATGACCTGAAAGACAGTGTCTGCTATAAACAGCCAACAAGTTGGCCATAACAACTTTATAAGGTGATAATATGTCAATTTTGTGCTTTCACCTTGTTGTGCTGCCCCCAGGTGGCCAAAAAAAGATCAGTTAACACTACTCAACAGATTTATATCTTCAGTAGGAAGAAATGGGCTGAGTGCCACAGACAGGGCAGGGAAGGTGGAAAGTATTGAGAGACGGACTAATGCGTTTTTGTTTGTTAGTCTTTTCATGATATTTGTTGAGAATAGGAATATTTCACCAGCTATAACATTTAAATTCTGAATGAATGGACTAATACATGTGCAGTTGCTAGCTGCTACATGTTGTGTGTAAGGTCCTTGCTTTGCAAAGCGTACATTCCTTTGGACAATAATTGGTATTGTATTGTGTTCTAACTGTTCAAAAGGTCTATATGTCCAATACACGAGTTGTGTGTTTACTATATGTGTAGGCAGGAGCTCCGCAGGGTTCAGAGTTCAGCTGGAGATTGACACGGCCAATCACATGGGCCTCCTCTTGACCCCGCCTCCCTCTGCTCTCTCCCCCTCCACATCTTAGTATTCAGAGCACAGACATCTACACAGATCTCTATTCATTCACTCAGTGTGAGCTCCAGCATGGACAGAGGAGAGAGAAGGGTCAGAAAGGACAGGAAAGGACAGAGCGTATCAGATCAACTTGGTAGTTAGGCTTTTGTTTGGGTTGTTTTGTTTTTGACTTTGTTATATTCGGAAAGCAGAGGCAGTTTGAGACAAAGGAGTCATTTAGTTAACTGTGAGTGAGAGCGAGAGAGAAGGAAAGAAAGATGAGGGTAAAACGGTCTACCCAGTGACAATAAGTGTCCATGGCACCCGGAGGTGGGGTGGTTGATTTCTCATTCTGTCAATATGCATGCTGACTCTTTGAGACCCACAGACACTTATATACTGATCCATCCCATCACATTACACCACTATTCTCTGACACAGGCAGCCAATTGATGCTTGTTAAATGACAGCAAGCACTTAGCTTGAGTTTATGGGAACGCATCTCACTCCCGACTCATCACATATTGACACTTGGTCAAGGCCCTTTGGCGTCACTTTTCGACGCCCTGGGTACTCTGTTAGCGTCATTTGCGGGTGCCCAGTGCGTTACAAACTGACGCCGATGGGTCTTGAACATGCGTCCACATGTGACGAGTTGGGGAGTGAGAACATGTTGACTCCGCCATCACTCATTCAAGTCAGCCACATTTAACAAACATATAGTCAAATGTATTTAGATCCCTATACATGACGTGCAAATGAACATTTAATTCCAAAACCACTGCCATTAATATGCTGCTATGACTTTTGGAATCTAAATGCAGGGATTCGCTCCCATTCATCCACAAGAGCATCAGGGTTTTCCACACCAAACTTCACCTAATTAGAGCAAGGGGTCTTAGACCAAACCATGAAAAACAGCCCCATGCCAAACGTACACAAATGTTTGCGGACAGGGGTGTTCACTGACCTTTTGTTCAGTTTTCTTCAGCTGACAACTTCTCAGAAACTATTTGACTCTAAAATAGTGCACATCTGCTGCAAATGCTGCATAATTGAGGTGTCTATTCATGAAACAACAGGCCTATAAGCGGAGGGCAGAGTTTTCAGCAAAATGGAAGAGGGTGCTCCAGTAGAAGATCTTTGCATTCTTGATTTAATGTTTAAGACTTCCTTTGACAATCTTTTTCATGCAGAATAACGGCCACCAGTGTCTCCTCATCTCAATTCAGTAGCTGTCTTGTGCAACCGACACATCAATGAGCCTGCACTATCAAGCTTTTAATGTGAAAGAGCAGCTGTGCCTTCATGCTGAAAGGGGCTCTTATTTTGATAAGGCCAGCTGCTTCCAGTGAAAAGAGAAAGGGGCATAAATGGACCACCGTGGACAGCCACAACACAGTCCAGTTAAAAAATGTGCTTCTAATGCCCTTCTTCTTCTTTTTCTTCTTCTTCTCTTCCTGCTCCTCCTCCCAAATGTTCCACTCTGTCATTTTTCTCTTTCATGTGGTTATCAAATGTTTTTGTATCCTTTTTTTTTTTTTTTTTTACACATCCCACTCCTTTTCATTTGGACCCACCTGCTGTTCACTTGATCTTACTGCCCATACAACCTGTGCCCTTTTTTCTTGCCGTCTTACCTCTATTTTTCTTTTCTTTCCATCCTTATTCTTCTCCTTACCTCCTGTTGTCTCCTCTTTTCGTCTCCAACCCCTGTAGCACCAGCCATGACCTCAGCAACTCCCCCCTCCTCTGAAGGCTCCTCTCCTCAGAAAGTATGCCACTCCCAGACACAGACTGACATCACCAAGCCCCTGCTGGGCTCCACAGGGGCCACCGGGGTTGTGGGTGCAGGTGGAGGAGGAGCAGGAGCTGGAGGGCCCTGTGCGCTGAGGAGGAGGCGCCGCGTCCTCTCGAAAGATGGACGAAGCAATGTACTCATCGAGCACGTAAGCGGGCGAGGGGCGCTGTACCTTCGCGACCTCTGGACGACTTTCCTGGACATGCAATGGCGCTACAAGTTCTTCCTCTTCTCTGCCACCTTTGCTGGGACCTGGTTCCTGTTTGGAGTGCTTTGGTACCTGGTGGCACTGGTACATGGAGATCTACTGGGTAAGGAGGGGGAAGGAAGGATGGTGGAGCTTTATAGTGCAGAATCACAGCTCACTGTTCAGAACTCACTTTTTAGAAATGCTATGGATCACTTTGGTCCACACTGAAATATCTCAAAAATGATCAGATGGATTGCTGTGAAACTTATTGCAGCCATTCATAATCCCTGGAGAGTGAAGCCTAATGATTTTGGTGATCCCCTGACTTTTCGTCTAGTGCCACCATGTCATTTGTTAATCATCAGTAGGTTAGTATTCTCATTGTGAGCATGTTGGCTTGACGAAAGTACAGCCTCACAGAGCTGTACCTTTCTTTGTCTTGTCTGATTGAGAATGACACATATTGCTTTACCCTTAATAGTACGTGAGACACCTTGCAGTACACATGTGCACTTACGAGTGCAATTACATGGAGATTAGGAGTTTTGACCAAACATTCCCTAACTCCTAATCTCCATGTAATTGCACTCGTAAATTGGTACAGAAAGCAAGATATGAACTACTTGATCAACAACCCTATTAGTCCCTGGAAGATATATTGTAGTCAAATAATGTCGCCTATTGTCCTTTTAACCGCAGACACCTGAAATTCTGGAGTAATAAAGTGAGCAATAAAATACTATTGTGTAAGTGCCAGTTAAACCATGTGTGCAAGAAAATGTTCTTGACTGCTTTTGCCAAGATGCCAAGATCAGATAATAATTACATAATTGAATTTTAAAAAACCTCTGAGAACTCATCTTGTCACACAAGAAAACAAAACAAAAATGTCTTTATCAAATTCATCCGGATTTCTGAAAAAACTGACCCATGAAGTACAAGTGCTTTTTTGTGAATGGCTTAAAAATGAAGAAAGACACACGGGAAAACAGTTTTGCGTTACAGAAAGAGCATGAGAAAGACCTGGCAGAACAGTGCGAGAGGGAACAAAATGTTCCTTGATAATTTGTTTACACCACCAAACCCAAGATCTTGTGTTCTTCCTCTCTTCCTCCAGAGTTTGACCCCCCATCCAACCATACTCCATGTGTAATGGAGGTGAAGACCCTGACGGGAGCCTTCCTCTTCTCTCTGGAGTCTCAGACCACAATTGGCTTCGGTTTCCGGTGCATCACAGAGGAGTGTCCCGTCGCCATTGTCCTGCTCATCTTTCAGCTGGTCATCACCATGGTGATGGAGATCTTCATCACTGGCACCTTCCTTGCGAAGGTAGTCAGATGTAGTTTTTGGAAAGTGATTGTTAAAGAGCTCATATAAAAGTGGAACTCTACACTCTACAATCTTTTTATTCAACCACTGGGGGGCGCTACAATAGAACAAACTGGCGTGGAAGTTGAAAGGGTTACCTTTAATCAGTGTTCAGTGAATCCTTTAACCAGTTCATTGTTTACTTTGACCTTTTCATACTGTACTGCAGAATCCTGTTGGAAGGTTCTGAACTCAGTAGGAACTGTAAAATGGATGAAGGGTTCAGTAAACTGTTAGGAACCTTCTGTAGGCTACAACCTTTATTTAGATACCTGTTGTACAAAACACATTATTCTTTATTCACTTTCCAGCATGAACATTTTTTGACAAATCCTTCTTTAATATGTAGATATTACTTACTTATTATACACTAATCCCTGGGCTCGTACACTGGGCACTACATTTGTTAAAAACATCAAACAACAAAGTATCTTGACTATCTAGATGTTGCAATTCATGGCCCTTCCTTTATCCACCCAGTATCATTACAGCTATCAGTATTTTTAGACAGTCAGCTTCTAGGTTATCAGTTATGCTAACAGATTGTCACTGTGGTCATTATTGAGACTCTTTCTCTTACTGGAGATTAGGTTATCGTGAACGGAGAAAGAGGCGATCAGAAGCCCTGTAGATGATTACTGAAGTTTATGTGAAGTGTTTACAGTGTGTAGCGACAGGAATCATTATATATAAATTTTTTTACCAAGACTCTGACATCTTCCTCCTCTTGTAGGTCGCTCGTCCCAAGAAGAGGGGCGAGACGGTGAAGTTTAGTCAACACGCTGTTGTGTCAAATCATGAGGGTCGCCCCTGCCTCATGATCCGAGTGGCCAACATGCGCAAAAGCCTGCTGTTAGGATGCCAGGTATGCAAGTCCCTTTTGGGTATCATTCACTTGGGTGTTGGGTGGTTTCTACCCTGTCTGATGCACCTGATGCCCTGTCTGTCTGTCTGTCTGTCTGTCTGTCTGTCTTGTTTCTCTGTGTATGCTTTTGAAGAGCTTCATTATTGATGCCAAGATGGATAAGACCCACTGACATTGACATACAGGCTTATCTGGAAGCCCATGCAGTAAAGAAAAAGAACAGACAAGCTTTATGAGAGCCGTAAGCTCTTTAAAAGGGCTGTTATGTCTGTTGTGTTATGACTCACATCCTGTCAGTAAAGTCCTTCGAATGCTTACTTAACAGTAATAATCTGACTGGTATGAAATGCATTAAATGACACATTCAGTGTCAGTAAATGCCATGCTCAAGGACGCACCGCCTTTGATGAAGTTATTGGTCATTGCAGGTATTAAACCTGGGGCCTTTTGGTTACAGGATGCCTTCTGCAACCTCTTGGCTACATTTACTGACTCCATCTTGGCTCCCAGGTGACGGGGAAGTTGCTTCAGACGTCCCTGACAAAGGAGGGTGAGACGGTGCGGCTGGACCAGCGCAATGTACCTTTCCAGGTGGACACGTCCAGCGACAGCCCCTTCCTCATCATCCCCCTGACTTTCTACCACATCATAGATGACAACAGCCCCCTCAGGGCCTGGGCAACCAAAGGTAGATCATGGCTTTAATGTCAAATATTTAAACAAATATTGATAGGAAAACTATTCCTTAACCTTTTTTTCTAGTATAACAGTAAGTTAAGAGAAAATTGCCCTTTACACAAAACAGGGTCATTACATATCACATTTGAGAGAATCTATGTCAGGTAAAGGTAAAGATGCACAGCCATAACGCAGAATGTAGACCGGATTGGCAGTTTCATATTGACATTAATACACAGCATTCCTAGAAATGTACATATGAACAATTAGCTTGTTATATATATATATATATATATATGTATATATATATTAAATGGAACTATACTTTAGTACCACCAATCATTTAAAAACAAAAGGTGTAATACGTTTTATAAAATGGTCAATGTCTTCATTTAAAAAAAAAGTTTCACATATCTCTTGGGAATGACAGTTCAGTGTGTATTTGTATGTAGGTGTGTTGGTATTTACAGTCATGTGCTGCTTGCTTGGCTGCCTTGACTATCCAGAGTTGGGCTGGTTTGGCACCGGAGGAGAGAGTTTCTCTGGCTGGAATGTGTGTGAGAAAGATCGCCAGAGACACCCCTCATTAGAGCACAATGCTGTACAGTCCGGGGTGCTGACACGAAGCCTGGACAGATCCACTTACAGCAGCACAGACCTCTCAGCAGCACTGGAAGCCACAAAGGCATCACTACTGACGGACTCTGATTGCTGCGTTATTTACACTCACACTACTCGTTTACTGTAGATGGCTTCTTTCATTTTTTTTCTTGGCCTCAATTAACATACTTGATTTTCTAATTTTCTTTCTGTATGTTCTCTAATTACGGTACTTTTATACTCTGCCCTTTAACTTCAACTTTCATTTCCGCCTGTTTCTGTTCAGTCAAGACCGCCAAAACCTAGACCAAGTCAAGACCAAGACCAGAGTTTATCGAGAATAATAAAATGTGTTTTTCAGTCGCTTTTCCTCATCAAATAAATATCTTAATAGAAAAATTAAGTGCTAATTCATTTGTGATTCAAATCAATTAAATCAAACATTTATTAAACAGTTGGATTGTGTGTAAAGGGGGCGGGAGGGGTTGTTAACGGTAAGAACACATTTTTAATTAGGGTTATTGGTTGTATTTGATGCAATACGTTTTACATCCAATCAAAGTTAGGATGTTAACAAATAAATCAGAAAATGCAAAAGCAATCTATTGATATTCCCAAACTTATGAGTCCTCAATGTTTGAGACAGAGACAAGACTGAGTACAATTGCCGAGACCATCAAAAACTGGTCTTAAGCCGGTCTCGAGATCAAGACTGGAGTCAAGTACTACAACACTTCTTATTTGGTCTCGCTGAATCTCCTAGTTGAATGTGAGTGTGAATAGTTGTCTATGTGTTAGCCCTGTAGACAGGCAACCTGTCCAAGGTGTACCCACGCTACCTCTGGCCCAGTGTGACCTGGGATGGCCTCCGCAGCTCCCTGCAATCCTGTACAAGATGATTACGTATGGTTCATGGATGGATGGATGATTGGATGGGTGTTCCTTAAGAGACATTTTGAAATGCTTTTTGGCACACATTCATAATAAAACCCATGACTGAGCAGTGAACGTGCTTCCTTGCACGCTGCTACTGTTTCTTTGAACAGAGCTTCAGGCTCCCTTTAACGCTTGCTTTATGTTCTCAACTAAATTTATTGGACCATCAGCAGGGACCTGCTCTGACAGACACATTGAATACTGGCTTTCAGCTTGTCAGCATTGTGCGACTATGAGTCACTGTATCAGGAGGGCAAGACACTGTGGAGATGTCCTATGGAGAGACAGATGACTGTCTAAACCATTGATCTGGAATATCAACACATTCCTCTTAATCATGTAGTTATATTTTACATATGCACTGTACCTCACAAGGCTGATTGGAAAGTGTGTGTGTGTGCACTGAATGAGTCATTGATGGTGTTTCTCACAAATACATAAATTTCCTGTAGAACCGAGGGATTATGAAACTATGCTGTGGCTGAAAAAAGCTTGTGGGTTGAAAAAGATGCCTAAGCTGAAAATATAGTAAACAAAGTCAGGCAAGGTAACAAGGTGTAAGTTGCAACACCACGGCAGGAAGTCACAATAGACAGCTGATGATATTAGAAACACATCAGTAGGTGGATGAGGGGATGAGGTGATGACAGGGTCAGTGCTGACTTATGCACATAACGTCATGGCAATCCATCCAATAGTTGTTGTGATGTGTCACTCAAAAACACAAATGTGAAACTCATGGTGGTGCTAGGGGAAAAGTCAGGGTATCTCCAAAGTCATCAGGATTCATCATCTGTGAATCACGGACATCTGTACAAAGTTTAGTGGCAACACATGCAGTACTTGTGGAGATATTGCATATGGACATTGCCGTCTCTAGAGCCATGCTGATGTTAAGAAGATGACTACGTAAATGCAGATGAGCCCTTTGAACTGCCCACAATGGGCCAATAGAGAATCCCTACCAACTTTGGTACAGTGTGTACAAGCAGTTGCGAAACCTGTGTTTTTTCCCCTGGTGGGAGCGGTACTGGGTCTGGGTTAGGGTAAGGACTGTTTAGACAGGTGACAGAGTCTGCATTCTGAGGCCTGTTGATGCAGATGTGTGCTTGATTGAGGGCTTCTAGTGTCTCCTTCGTGTTGTTGCAGTGGTGTGTCGATAAATTACAAGTATATTCTGCGTATATTAAACATTCATAATTGGAATGTTTCCGACAAGCGGCAGCTTTTACTTTGTGTGTGTGTGTGTGTGTTTGAGATCCATTCAAGTGTTTAAAGTGGGGAGGGTTTTATGTTTTAGGGCGTACTTGTGCATGTGCATGTTTCTGTGCATCTTTCCCATCTTTTACTGAAGTAATCAATCTGTGACCCAGACTTTGATTCTTTTTAAATCAACGAGGACCTGAATAATAATAATAATAATCTTTATTTGTAGAACACTTTTCAAAAACAAGTTACAAAGTGCTTTAACAAGTGTAAAGACAATAATACCCAAGAGACAATAATACAAAAACAATACAAGATAAACACCTCATGGACAAACATGACACCATTGAGGCCAAATCTTCTGTGCTTAAACACTGCTGCTTAATATTGTTGCTTTACACATATTGACAACGGATCAAATAATTCATGCATGTAGAGACAACTCCACAGAGAATTATCACATGACTTTGTAGTTCCCCTCAGGTCTTAGAGCTTATTTTAGCTCATAGTTGTGGGTTTCTGCTCTGCAACTGTTTTGTTTTGGGAATGTGGCAGTTAAAGAGACAGATACTTCCTTCAGGACATTTCTCAGGTGGCCAGACTCATGACTGAGAATGAATGAGAATATTTCTGTGTGTCTGCTGGATGTGTAATTAACCACCTTTTTTGCCAACGTGTTACATAACTACATTACACACTGACAAGTCAGTAATCTATGTTTTAATTTCAAGGTGTTATGCTGCCCCCAGTGGGCCAGAAAATGCAGCTTTGATTTGCTCTTGAAGAGATTTCTTACCTTTAGGTTCTGCTGTGATGAATAATCAGTTTTCAAGCAGTTTCTGTAATTAGTTTTAAATGCTTCACTCTATTAAAACTGTGATGGGGTGAATTGAATCATTGCCTGAAAAGGAAGAAACAAATTAAAAACATGTGGCTTGCTTTGGAAATGGGAGCTTTTTTGTTTGTTGTTTGACCTCAGGTCTTGTGTGTCCTCCAGGTGGTGGCTGGACAGACCCGGAGTTGGCAGATTTTGAGCTGCTGGTGATCATGAGTGCCACGGTTGAGCCGACCTCCGCTACCTGCCAGGTTCGAACATCCTATCTTCCCGATGAGATCCTCTGGGGCTATGAGTTTCCCCCTGTCGTCTCCCTGTCTCCTTCAGGAAAGTATGTGGCAGACTTCGCCTTCTTCGACAAAGTGGCCAAAACCAAAACTCCACCCCTCTTTAAGCAGGCCCTGCCACCGAGCCCGCCATCTCAGGCGTCCCGTTACAACGGCGGTAAGGAGGATGGGAAGGACCCAGAGAAGATGCGACTGGAGGAAAGCTACAGGGGGGGAAGAGAAGGGGCGAGAAAGGCGCATCAGAGATAGCAGCCCACTGAGTGTGCGTATTAGTAATGTGTGAGAGAAAAAAAAAGACAGGAAGAGGTTTCAGAAAGCTGTTGTGAAACTGAGTTACTGTAAAGACAGAAAGAAAAGAAGCAAACTGCTCTACAGAAGAAGTTCAATTCTCACACGAAAACATCTCCCCACCTGTACACACACCTACTCATATTTGTGGAAATTAAACACATGGGCGCCCACCAACCACACACAGACACACTGTTAATGCTACTGTATAACCACAACTCTGTTGACAGCATAGCCTACTGATGATATCTGTGTCTGCAACCAGCTTCAGAAGGAACAAGTTACAAACCCAACATGTACAAATGTACAGCACAACATGAAGTCATCCATAGAGACATTTTCTAAACTTATATTCATGGGGATTCACTGGAAGATACTCAAACAATGCAAAAACCTTCATCTTATCAGGTCACTTCTGTCTATAATTTAGCTACGACTCAAGAGTAGTAGGAATAACTTAACATGATTCCAATAGAAATCAACTTGTTTCAAGAATTTGCTAGAAATAGGCGTCTCTTCCTTGAACGAAAAGGGAAAAAGAAAACTAAGGTTGATCGGAATAAATATTCTCACCACACCTGCAGATTTTTCATCTGTTTTAAGTAAATAAGAACTCAATAACAGACAAATTGATTTGAGAAAATGAATTTTGCAATGTAGTTGAACGTCTGATATGGATTTTTATCACTGAATCACAGTACTGTTATTTTCCTTTTTTTAATTAATAAAGAACCTGCAACAGGTGGCGAAAATACTGGAAACATAGTATATTTTTAACGAAGGATTTTTAAGGAATGTATCATATTTTATGTAGCCAATAGTTTCTAACAACATTGTGACATGTGCTCTTTGAATGTTTATTGTTTATGGGGAAAATGGGTTTGGTAATTTTACTAAAAGCACTTTAACTTGAAAGAAAAGTGGCATTTCACATAAGGGGAATAACTGAACTAACTGATACCTAATGCACTGTAATAAATGATAAAATCTTCTGGTTATGTTTGGGCTGTGTGAATGTGAGTGAGCGGTTTAATGCTTGAAAATGGGTAATTTTGTGAGTATCATAATAGTGTTTGTATGAACCTTTTTGTGAACTGCGTTAATGTCATGTGCAGTATGTGTGTGTTAATGAACCTCTGTACAGTGTATAAAAATATTTTTTCTACATTCTTCATTTCTTCATGTCCTGACATTTGATACACAACTCCATATTTCCAATATAACATATAAATTGTTGTCACAGCACATTGTTTTTCCTGTAAAGTACAGTCAACCCATCTTTTTACTGCTGTAATTGTTTTCATTCCGTGGTTATAAAAGTATCTGTAGATTCTGCCAATATGTGTCTAATCAGCTTTATTACGTGTTTGATGAAGAAAATATATTTTGACAAAAATCTTTTTCTTTTTACTCTACATGGAATTTTGACAGATGCATTAACATTAATTTAAATTATGCTACATGTTTAAGGGGACTAGTTAAATTTGTTGATTAATTATGACAAAAAATTAGACATCTGAATTTTTATGTAAAGAAACGAAGATCATCAGAAAATTACAAAGAGATAGAGTGCCAGAAACTTTTCTTCTAGTCTTAGCATTTAGTGTTTTTGTTTGAATGGCCAACAGAGCATGCAATTAAAAATTAGGCATTTATTTTGTACCTGATAATCTTTTTTAAATGTGTGCTCTTGATACTACTTTGGGATTAAGTACCACCTTTTAAATGAAATACATACATAAAAATTCCATATTAGCCTAGGATATACAGACTATTGCACCAATCTCGTCTTAACCTAGAAGTGTATCTATAACAGCTTTTCAGAGGACTGACTAGGGCTTCAATTATATGATTCTCTGACTTGTCCAGGTGACACATACAACTAAACATCACTCATAATATTAGAAGCTAATTGGTTGAACTTTTTAAGTAACGTTTTTTAAGTGGCTCTTTTAATAAATGTATTTTTTGCAACTTATTTGTAAATCAACCTGTTTGAATTGACTCCACAGCATACAGCCCAAAATAGCATGTTTTTTCATCATCATCTCAGATGTTGACCTTTTTTAATTGATATTTACCAACATTGAGAGGAGCTGGTTAAAAATGCTATTGTTGGTGCATCTGTGACCAGCCCTACTAGAGGATGACAAACTTCCCGCCTACAAAGAAACCTGATTTGACAAACCTGTCGCTCGGGTGTCCTCTGACCAATCAATTTAACACCAATACACACTGGTTCAATAATGGGTATTGTTCCTCGTTAGTGGTGTGAATATGATTTTAAATCTTAATATTACTTGTGAATATCAGTATAAGATTAGTGGTCCTATAGCTTAAAAACATAAACCTGTTTTAAAACGTCATAAATACAATAAATATTAGGCCTACCAAATTGGAGCCGATGTTAACTACGCTAGCCTTAGCTAAAAAATGCTACCTTATGTTAACTGGCATTAAGCTAATGCACTTACACAAAGTTATCTTAACATTAGCTGAAACATTAGCCACTTTCTAATTACAAGAAAACCAATATCATACATAGTCTACTACTTTGACACAGTTTTTAACTACATTTTTGTTCCTGGAAGTGGGTCCCTAGTTCTTCATTTGTGCAGGAAATTTCCAACATAAAACTGAACCTGTTCTTCATGTTAATTGATGAATATGAGAAATATGTTGCCAGTGTTATAACACACTAGGGCAACACAAGGCTGTATAAAGAGTGTGTAGTCCCTTCATGCTACACACATGATAGAACCTTAAAAATAAATAAAACATACATATATACATACATGTATACACCCACAACTTTCTGCAGTGTATTTTTTGACTTTGCTTCTGGGGAGAATGTAAACACCAACAATTTACTGATGATAATGTGGCTTCATCTTCAAACAAAAATGGGCCTAGTATGAAATTTGGGAAAGAGTGTCTATCTTGACTGTGATTGCAGCCTATTGTTTTAGGCCTACAGGCAAATATGCTTTATGTTGCCTTTTAGTTTGTGGTATACCATTTGCAATGTTTGCTTCAGTGGGAGCTGCCCTGACATTATTTATTTAGGCTACTTCTCCTGAAGTTGGGGTACATAGTTTTGCTCCAAGTTCACAAGTAGGAACTCGGACTCCATGTGGTGGTTCGTGTTAGCCTAGTTTTTCTAATTGGAGTTCTGAGTGTCAGAGATCCCAGTTGCCTGAAACGCAGCATTATTTCCGTTGTCTCTCTGTTGCGTCAACGCATGAATTGATGACTCAGTGACACAGTGACCAGTTTACTAGACAGAAATATTGTGTACTATGATATGATGTACTATGATGAACAGATTTCACAGATTTCGGCTTCCGCTACCGCCTGCTACTGTACTTTTCTCATTTATCGGCTGATCTCTTTCAGGGATGGAAACAGAGCTGTATGTAAAACTTTGTCTTTACTTTGTTTGAGTGAAGAGGAATGTGTGCATGACTGCATTTCAGTATTGTTGTAGGCCATGTTTATGCAGGTGTTTGGTTGCATATAGCCTGATATGTTGTGTATTTGAAAGATAGATGATAATATAGCCTACATAGACCAGAGCAGAAGGATGAATGCACAAGAAGTTCTGGCAATTACATGAGTGAGAGAGGATCGGATGGGGGATAGAGAGAGGCAGTCATGAGTGACTGAGTCACTGTCTGCGTGTGTGTGTGTGTGTGTGTGTGTGTGCGTGTGAGAGAGAGAGAGAGAGAGAGAGAGAGAGAGAGAGAGAGAGAGAGAGAGAGAGAGACTGCTTCTTTATTCCCATGGCGTGGGCTGACTAAAACAACAAGTTATTAACCAAAACTTTGTTTTAACTATGTTGTTACCTTTGCTAGGCTAGTAGACCCAAGTGCAGGATTAAGAGAGGGAGGAGACTGGAGATGAAAGAGGAATATTTATTGCAGTGTTGAAGGGATCATCTGGGGAACAGCGAGGCAGAGTGGAAGATGTGTGCAGGACCCGATTGGTGGCTGCTGTGCAGAGCAGTGGGAGAAACTGTAGCTGGGAGTCCAGAATGTGAGAAGCTGAGGCAGAGCAGAATCTGGGAATAGTGTAACTGGGCGGGATGAGCGCTATTTCCTGTAGCATAACAAACACATCATTATGCAAACTTCGCTTTTAACTTAACTTTGATTGTAGTTTTTTTGAAGTGCAAATTGCAATTTGAAAATGTTATATTTTATGTTATGTTTAGTTTAAAGCAGGGATAGGATACTATAGGCTGTTGAGTGATTAGGCCAGAAAGGTTGTGTATAATCTGTTCTGCACTTATATTAGGTAAACTTGTGATAGCTACCGTACTATACCTAAAATCCACATCAAACACAGTCTAGTTAGACACAGTGTAGCATGGTGGTGGAGTGCTACAATAGAGTTTATTAATAAAAAAAAGCAGTGAGGGAAGTGGTAGTACATTACAAATAATATAGGACTGGGTAGTCTAATCCTGTTTAATAAAGTGGCTCGAAAGAAAAAATGCAAAGATGTGATAATAGACACCATATCAGAGGGTTACCTGTCAATCAATTGCATGAGCTAAGATATCTTCAGTTTGGTAGTAAATAGTAATACATATAAAAATACATAAAAGTAAGAAGTTTTTAGAGGTCAGAAATGCTGCTTTAGCCTTTACGTCTCTGAGTTCTTGTCAGGATTTCGCTCAGTGCAGGCAGGGATTCTGCCCAAACGCAAGACACTAGAGCTGGCAGGATGTGTTCTGATCATTAATTTGAACAGAAAGTGTACTCACAACAACAGGGTTAACGAGCAGGAAGGGAATAAACAGGTGAGACACTTGGGGTGTAATCAAGACAAAACAGGAAACAAGCTACAAACAACAGATGCAGACAACTTCAGACTAAGACAGGAAGCAGAAAAAGATGCTGAGACAAGGACCAAACTGACAGAATCAACAGACCTAAACCAGGAACACACAAGAACAAGTAGAAGACAAAACCAGACATAACCTGTTACCAAAATAAACCGAGAACAGACAAGCACACGGACAAAACTACGACGAGTGTTAGGGGCCCATGAAGGGAAACAAATTGAGGATGAAAAATTGTATTTATTTAGTCCATCAAATCAGAGTGAATGCCGTGCCAGCTGCCATGTAGGCTACATCATACATGCAGCTTTTGCTTTCAGTTAAGAATACAGTTGCACCTCTTCAGAAACTCACCTTTACACTCCAAGGATGTAACTCATATGTATATGATGTAGCCTACATAGCAGGTGGCATGGCGCGCAGTCACTCAAGACATTTTGTCTAACAACAAAACAAGGACAAGATGAACACACGACACATACCTTTTCAAAGCAAGACAGGGAAACAGACTGAAACAAAGGAAACAGAAGAGTCAGGACGAATCACGACAGTTCTGTTTAACTGCTAAGCTGGACTGAAAACTAGACGTGATGGTAACTGTTGCTTACATGCTAAAGGACTAACAGTGTTTTGTTAACAGTGATATATGTGTGACATACTACAGCACTGTCAAAAAAAAATACAGCCCCATTATTCATTTGAACAGGGCAGCTGCGTTGCCTCAGTGGGGATGCAAAAAAAAAAAAAAGAAGCTCAGCTGAACCTGGCTGAACTTGAGCTGCAGCACACTGCAGGATTGCAGCGGTGCAGCATTTAGTCTCTAATTCCCGGTACAACACAACAGTTTTGAATATACACAGGGAGGAGGTGCTGTCATGTAGGCGTCATTTTGCCTTTGCAGCGCAGATTTTTCATTCAAAGGAGAGCACAGAAGTGTAATTCTGTATTCAGTTGATATTTAAAGTTTAAGGTTTATAGGTTTAAGGTTTTATATTTTCTGCTTTGACTTTACATGTGATAGTAGTGTTGTACTAGTTAACTATAGTACCAGATTATGAGAATTTACCACAGTATATATAGTCTAATACGGTAGTGATCAATTATATATATTGTCACATATTACAGAATTTCCATGGTGCTTTTTTCAGATAAAAAGTCTGGCTGTAGTTTCCATGAGTTCGAAATCCCCACTGACGACATCTCAGCAGGTAATTTTTTTTTTGACTCAGAATGCAGCACATAGCTAATAGGCAGACATTACCTTGATAATGCGATGGCGTACTGTATGGGTATGGATAAAGTTGAAAACAATAAGACAGGGTATTTGTACCTTTAAACCTTATGTGTCAGATACAAATTGTACACTGCAATTGTCATTGCCATCTCTTTGAGACCAAGACTGACAATAAGATTGAGTCACTTATTGTGAAACTGGTTTTATTTCCTACAGAAACCACAGGAAAACCCTATTCATGTTGTTGTTTGAATATCAGATTGAACGTCAAACCAAAGCTACAAGTAAAATGCATCACACTAACTCACAAATAGGGAAGTCAGACATACAAACATTAAATCTTCAGTCTGTAATCACTTCTCCGATTTCTGCCATGCTGATCATTTGACCATGACACCAAACATCTGAGTAGTAATGCATGGAAGCTTTTTGGTTTCAACATCGTAGAAAAAATAGCTGTGCATAATGATGCAGCTGTATGCTGACTTTATAAAATGCAACTATCTTACTGTAACATTACAAAATTGGTTTACCTGATTACCTGTTTACCTTGTTTCTCAAATGAGGCAATTAAGAGACTGTGATCTAACAGAGCAAAGTTAGTTTTACAGTGTAGGTTTGTATAAGGCTATGTGGGTTTCATTCAAATTAATTTAAACAAATAAGGTGTTATGTGTTAGGTCTTTCATTGGAACTGGATTTTTTGAAAAAGTGACAACTGTACTGCCTACAGTTTCCTGCCCTTTGACACCTGCTATCATATCTTCATATAAAACCTAGTTTCCTGTTAACAATTTCAGACTAGTTCACACTGCGTGCAAAGAATTTTGAGTGGATTGAAAATGCTTCTACTTCTGAGTTGCTGGATTATTGCAGGTAAGATGAAGAAAAACTACTGTAATGTGCATGTTATTAATTTATTAACTATTCATGTGAGGTTTCATAACGAAACAGGGTGTAACAAAATGTTCAGTGCTGTAAAGTTTTTCCAATATGCAATAGTTATTTTAAGTTATATATCAATTTTGGTGTTATGACGAGTTATAAAGTTGGTCTTAGGTGATTGAATTTATTAGCTTAGCCTTTGTGCGCCTGGTTCTCAAGCAGCATTACAAAATCTTCTATTTACATTTCCATTTTGTTTTTCAGTTTTATTCAAATTTCTTACAAACTAAAGTATAAAATGACAAACCCTCTGTGTAATCTTTTTGGCCTTGTCGCGGTCTCAAATGAATTTCTCTCTCCTTTTAAAAGTATCCTCCAGTGTTTGTCGCTTTGGTTCAGCCCATGACTGTTGATTGTCGTCGTCTGTACATCTTCCCTGGCTGTCTGTCTCTGCTCCGAACAGTGGCTGGGCTGTGAAACACCAGGCACCATAGATGACAGTAAAACACAAGAGACTAAATAAATTACATAAATAAACAGCATAATTTTTTTGCTAATAATTTTGCTGTATGGTGTGTGGTGATTCATCGCAGGCGGGGTTCAGCCCTGCTCTGACACACACATGAAGCTCAACGGAGTGGAGGAGAGACAGACAGTGGAGAGTTGGAGATTTGACGATAACTGCGCTCGTGTTGCTGTGCATGAAAGCTTCCTGAGTAAAATCTGATCAGTTAAAAATGCCTTAATCAGCCCCAATACTGATCTTTTGAGATTGGATATGGACATCCCTTAATTTTAATGTTCATAGTTTAGGGACTTGAAAATAAAGCTGAATAACAACATCATCATCTTCACAAATGCTTTAGGCAGCTAGGCAAGACAATTAAATTCACAAACATTGCTTATGACATTTTTCTTTATGTTTTTATTCACATTAGTGCTGCATGAAACTTTCTAAGGTAATACAATTTAATGTATTTTAATGATATTCTTTTAATGATATTGTGTAATGTTTCCTATCAGGGGTTACAGCAGAGGACCCACCAACGATGCATTACCGGGTGAAAAAAAGCTCATTATGTCTACAAGTTGGAAAATCACCACCATTTCAAGGTTATCGGTGGATTTTTGATGATAAACTTATTGTTACTGATAACAACATCACACCCAGGTACAAAGACAAAGTGGATTATGATCCGGGGAACCACTCCTTGTGTATCAAGAACCTCACAGAGACTGACAGTGGCACCTATAAAGTCAGTATCACTGATTCTGACTTTAATTTATTTACTGAGACCCACACACTAATTGTTGAAGGTAAGTTCTAAATAGTTATTTGTCTTTTACAGGTATGGATCTTCTTGATTTGTTGCAACACAATGAGACACACAAAGTTTCTTTATCAGCAGTATTTAGCTTTAACCTTAGAACTTTTAAAACTTTTCTCAAACCTTTATTGACATGAACATAGAACAATATAATTAATTAACCTTACCTACCTCTTTAAAATGCATTTACTTTTTTAAATTGTGACTTCTAAAAGGTCAACAGTCCAGTTTACAAATAAACGACCACACAAAGATCAAGGAAAATACAGAGTAGGTCATTTTAGTTTTTGGCATTTACCATCGTACATCCCTTCATTCATTTTCATGTTAGTATTTAACACAATATGTGAAAAGTTAAAATGATTTTAGTTGTAAAGGTTTTATGTCTTAAAGTATCATGTCTGATAAAGAGCATGTGGCTTCATGTATATTTGGTGTTATCAGAGCTGCTCATGTAGGCAGTGTAGTCAAATGCTAGGGATGCAGTAGTACTGTAGGGGCTCACAATAGCCAGGGAAATAAATAAATAAATAACAAAACACTTATGCATGCAAATACTGTATAGTGGAGGCACTGTGCACTTCATGGTGTCTATGAATTATGATCACTTGTATGGGGCATGAGGCTTTGTCTGAGGCTTGTGTAGATAACTTTTGTTGATTTTGTGCTTCCTATTGTAGTAGTTAAGTATACATGCTCAAATGTCCATGTGAATTGGCATACATTGGTGAAACCTCCAGAACTTGTATCGCTCAGCACTATCAGAAACAATGTAACATCTAGTCCTGTGGCTGCACACTTTTCCAAGGTGAAACACAACACTTCTACTCTCAGATATGTGGGAACTGAGGTATTAAACAAATCACTGTACATACATGAAGAGGGGAAAATATAAACTCTGTACTCTTACAGCGTGAACACTTCTAGGTACAGGAGACACTTTGGCCCCTAAAAGCATTAATGAGGATTTTGACACATTTTTATGAGAACCATGTGTCATGTCTTTGCAATAACACTTTTGAATGTTCTTGATTTCTAAAAATATTTTTCTTTACATATGGTGTCACTTTTCACTTTATATAGTATATATATAATAACTGTTAAACAGACAAAATCCTTTATGGGTTACAAACTACTGGGGATACATGTATTTCTCTTTGTGTATTGGGATTTTCTTTATGTACCACATGTATATATGTAGCCTAGTGTATCAATATTAATATGACATGTATTTTTATTGCTATTTGACTGATGGCAACTTGCAACAAGTGTGGTATGAATATGTGTGGTATGTTGCATGTGTTTGTAAAATGGATTATTGGTATTTAAGACAGCGACTGTCTGTACTTACAGTATCATAAGTCTGTGCTCAAAATGTCACGGGCAGCTATTAAAGCAACATTAGGTAAGATATGTAAGATTTAGTTTTTTTTGTGATAATATTACTTATGATCAAAAAATAGTAGGTCCAAAACTTTGATAATGCATAAAGCAAGTAAACAGAAAGAAGGCCAGCTTGGCAACTGTCTTCCAGCCTTTTATTTCACAAAGCTCTCGCAAATGTCCGGGAGCCTCCTGCTGGGTCACTCTCTTTTTCTCTTCTTAGCTCCAACGTCCTCTTCGGTCTCTTCACCTATCTTCAATTAGTTATCGATATGTAAATAAAGGCTGCTGAGCTGAGCCCGGTTATGTTGCCCACTCACATGGCTTTTAGCAAGATTGACACGACACTGGCACTGCTCTCCACCAGCTACAATTTTATGGTAGAAAGTTACAAAATGTTTCTCGGTCACTTGCCGCTAGTTATAAATCTTGAGTTGATGTTAGCAAACTTGCTAGATACTTGGACATCGGTAACATTTCTGAAAATGTTCTTGCATTGGTAGTTTTCTAAGCTTTGTTGCTCTGCTTGGCACTGAGCCTCTTGCTCGGCTTAGCTTCCATTACCTAATGCTCGTCATCTGTCCTGCATTCTTTCACCTCTTTTAGCTCACGCCAACAACTAAGAGTATTTACTCTTGTCCGGTCTCTTCCTCAGATGCCTTCTGCAGTCTATTTGCAACCTCTGCTGCATGGTGTCCATACTGAAATATCTTCTTCCAAAGAACTTACATTGTACATTATATAGTTTTTGCTTCATCTTACAGCTTGCTTGCTGAAGAGTCGTGTTGATGCCGTAAAGCATTATGCACCTGTCATACTAAATGTCCAGTACAAGTCAAAGGTAGCACCGTAACAGCCGCAGTGCTATTGGGCGCTGGAATCTGCATGTCTTTTTCATTGTTTTGTCGTGGGTCCTACTAGTTGCCATCAGAGGGTACCAACAAATCTAGTTCACAGATCTAATGCATTTTAATTCATCTGCTTGGGTGGCTGTTGCAGAAACTGTTTCCAGACCTGTCATCAGGATGAAGGTGCTGCGCTCTAACAAATCTGCTGGATTCTGCAACATCACAGTCAACTGCTCCGTCCAGGGTGACTGGGCGTGGTCTGTGTGTAATGGAGTCAGTTGCAGAACATCTCTGATATCATTCGTGAAAGTCAACATCACCATCTCCTCTGACAACAGAACTGTTGTCTGCAGTGGACACAACCATGTCAGCACAAGCAATGCTTTTGAAAGCATGGAGGCAATGTGTAAGCATGATGTGATGATTTTAAGTAGTTTTAATTGATCACTTTTAGTTACTAAAATGTATTTTCATGTCTTTCCAGGCTTTAATAAAACGAATCCTGAACATAAAGAGGCAACACAACCAATCACTGTAATAGTAATAGTAATAGCTATTGCAGTGTTTATACTCCTCTTTACATTTATATTCTTTTTAATGACGGGGCTTTGCTCATCAGAATATCATCACCGTCAGGTAAGCCGAACTTTAATTAGAAGACTTTGATTACAGGATGGTGAATTCAGTTTATCTTTAATGCTAGGATGTGTCTTGTCATTTGACATTTTGTTCAAAGGCCTGATATGTTACTGCATTATTTGCAGGCACAGACGTCTATGACTCAGTTAACACAAAGCCAGCCAGTTGAGGCAGAGCCACGCCCTGTGACCAGGGGCTCTACCTCTTCTTCTGGTCAGTCTGAGGCCTCTTATGAAAACGTGGAAGCCACACATCGCTGCCCAACCATCAGCCAAAGATTATCAAGAGAGGAACTGGGGTCAGAGCAAAGTCCGAAAGTAGATTCTGTCTACTGCGTTTTAGAGGTACCAAATCTGACTGCCTCTCACAGAAAGAGTGACAGCAGTAAAGACACAAAAGGACACAAGAAGATCCAAGAGGCATCGGCTTCACAGTCAGCCACCTTGGATGAAGCACAACGCCCCACACAAATTGACACGGTCTACAGTGTGTTGCAAAAGCCAAAAATCTGAAGTCACAGCACCACCAACAGGTCAAACAAGCTATTTACAAGCCAAAGAGATGAACATGACAAATGAAAGAAAAAGAGCCTTTAACCCAGGACGGACAGATGAACATTCATGCAGTATTTTGTTTAGACTGGATGACCCATCTTTATGGATTATGCAGTTATTTGGTACAGTGTTTTGGTATTGTGGTGTTAGTTTTCTTTTTATTCCTTTTTATACAATTTATTCTTTACTTTTATTATCATGAGCATTTATGTTAACAGTAACACATACATGATTACTTGATACAGTTTTTATTTATTATGGAATGATCTGCTGATAATTTTCTCCATTAATCGACTGTAAACATTTTGATAAATATTAAAAAATGTTGTTTTGTCAGTACAATCCTCAAAATTATTAAAAATACATTAAAATAATCAAAAGGAAAAGCAGCATATCTTCACATTTGTGAAGCTGCAACCATAAAATGTTTCTATGTGAAAAATGATTTATCAAAAAATAGTTGCCAGTTAAATTTCTGTCAATCAGTGAATGTACATGCTGTACTTGTATAAACTGTGGGGTAGTTTTTAAACTTTTCATATGTTTTGAGTGTACAAATCTTACTGTAGTTGTTTTGAATATTACAAGTCAAAACAACATCAAATTAAGGAGTCATTACCATCCTGACGTTACATTTTAGCCAAACAGTTTATCACTGGGGGTTATTACCTTTTGTTTTAGGTTGGAAGCCTCAACAGGAAGTGGTTCTTCTTCAGTTGCTGAAGCTGCTTCTACTTCCACTGCAGAACCCGTTGCAACTGTTCACTGTCAAGCAACTTTCTGACAGTAGATATTCCCAGTGTGCGGAGTTTGGTAGGTGTACAGCTGCTCTTTCAGTCCAAGTACCTTTTGGGATAGCTCAGTGTTCAGTGCAGCAAGGCCTTCTACATGAATCCTGACACCCTCAGTCTCCTCATAAAACTGTTCATTATCCAGGAAGTTCATTTTCTGACCAAGTATCCTTTGTGTTACTACAAAGAAGTTGTTGGGCAGTACTACATTGTTCATTTTAAAGGGCAGCTTCAAGCTGAAATGACCATCTTCAGGTGTTGCAGAATATTACACAATCTCCATGATCTTGATATCTTCCATTGAAGGACCTTTCTCCTCTGTAGCGCTCTCATTGAAATCATGGTTGTACTGACTGTTTAGCATTTCTTCCAACCAGCATACAGAAATACTGCTGACAAGGACTGAAGGAACATCTGCTCCTAAGCCGTGTCAGCCAATACTGTGTTTATTTCATATGATCCGTTTATGACCTCCCAAGGTTCCAACATCTATCAATAGGTCGACATTAGCCTCTAAGTTGGGAATCTGTCTGACTGAGGACTTCTGGTAGCTTATAGAAGATATTGCTTTCAACACCAGACCCCTCCAGCCTGGGCAATAAATATGCTCACATCACCCTTTCGTGTTCCATGGTTTGTAGCAGAAAGTGGGTTTGTTTGCCAGAAAGACTAAACCTTTGCATGAGGTTTTCTAAACAGAAAGTGGCTGAACTGCCAGGGTCCAGAAATGCATACAATTGGATTACTCTGCCCCCTTTGATGGATCTGTCATCTGCTCCGTGTCTGCATTTGCTTTGTCTCTCTTACATTTACTCATTTGGCAGACGCTTTTATCCAAAGCGACTTACATTTGAGAAACAACACACAAGCATCAACAAAGCATCAAATACAGCACAAGATCTACAATGAGGCACATTAGGGTGACCACAAATCCTCCAGGTCAAACACTTTTCACAATTACGACTCCTGTGCCCAGCAAATAAGAGCCACAGCAAAGCTCTTTCTCCTTTAGAAAGACTATTTTGTCCTGGTGCTTCTTCCTTTTGAACTGTTGACATTCTTCCAAAGAGTGACTTTGGGGACAACAAACACAAGTTTGCTTAACTGTAGAGCTATTTTCTGGCAAGACTGCCCTTCTCTCTCTGAAGTTCCTAGCTTAATGTATTGTTGCAATGGTGGTGACAAAGCTGTTTCCTTTAATACTATTGCTTGTCTGCGACTTCAGCCTGGCGACCTTAGCACCAACTGTTCCTGAATATTGCAAAACAAAGGGTCTGATAGAATACAAACATGTTTCTCTATGAATGCCACCAAATCTTTGAACAAAGCTCTGCTTTCGGATGTTTCAATTATGCTATATGCCACCGACCTCCATAGCTCCCTCAACTTGAAAGGGAGCTTAGACATGACTGCTCTCATGTTGCTGACATAGCCCAGATTAGGCGCCATATGCTGGCAGCCTCCTACCAGTTCCCTTGGCTGTCCTGTCATGAACTGTTACAGGTAATACAAACAATCACCCTGGCTGAACTTATCCTCCCCTCCCTGCTCAAATTCTGACTTGAATTAAATATATTGAAGAAGATCCCCATCGAATAAGGGAATATCTCTTGCAGGCAATAACATGAAGCGTTTCTGTTGGACCAGTGCTGTATTTCATTTTGCCTTTCCTTTATGGAGCAGATGTTATCCTCCACCGGCTGAGCACTAACCAGGTGTGGTCCCAAAGGTTGTGACTGTACATTACGGTGCATTTGGGAACCCATCGTCTGGCTTAACCCGGTGACCTTGTTGGCTAACCAGCTGAGGCACAGCATACAGTATCTCACAAAAGTGAGTACTGTTAGGATTTTGGTTTAGCCTTGTTTATTATTTCGGTTTTGTTAGTACTCTTAGTATCTGTCTTGCTTTGCATCTTAGTTTTTAGTCCTGTAGTTTGGTTTTCTCGTTTTTTGTCTGCCTTGTGTTGATTTGTGTTCTCTGTCTGGTGATTTATTATTTGACTGTGTTCAGTCTTGCGTGCTTGTTTCCTGTCATGTTTAGTTTGTATTTTGGTGTTCTATTATGTTTCTGCATTTTGGTTTGGTCCTGTCTCTGTTCCCTGCCCTGGTTTTGTTCTTTTATGCAGTAGTTTCCTGTTTTCTGTTTTACTTTGGTAACTCTGTCCTTGTGTGTTCCCATGTGCTTTAATTTCCTGTTTTATTTTTTAGTGTTCTGTTCTCATGTGTCCTTGTCTAGCTTTGTTCCTGTTGTTGATCACCTGATGTGTTTCAGCTGTGCTTCCCTCCCAGCTCATTTGCTTGTGTGTATATTGTCCTTAGTTGTGGTCAGTGTTTGTGTCGTGTGTTGTTTCCAGTCCATGCGCTTTTGGATTATTTTTCGGATTGTATCTTGTACCTTCTTTGTTCATGGACTCTTCCCTTTGGATTGTGTTTTGTTTGGAGTTGCCTTTTGTTTGAACATTAGCCGCTGTGCTCCCAGCGTAAACCTGCTTAGTTTCGTTTTAGTAAATCTTTCTTTGAACTGGAACCACCTCGCCTACAGTCTGCATTTGGGTCCGCATCTCTATTGCACTCTACTACCCAGGACAAGTACACCCATGAGAGGAAACTTTTAATAGCATGTTTTTCTCATATTCCTAATTACATAATGTTACATTTCACCCTGGTGAATGTGACAACCACAGACTGAATATAAAGGTTACAACTAACACAGCCTGTGGGGTGAATTGTAACGTTTTACTCCTTGTGTTTGAGACTAAACCATGCATCTGTCTGTCTGTGTTGCAGAGATGACAGCTACACCACTTAATAGCAGACACATGTAACTAGTTTGTATCACATTTTGAACGCACCGGCTTAAGAGAGGCCCGATAAACAGACAGAAATGTAAAAAAACTTTACAACCATCCTGGTCTCCCCTAATGCTAATTAATACTAAACAGCTTTGTAAATGTTTTTGTAGGCCACAATAGGCTACCGGTGGTGGACATGGGAGGGGCGTTCCTGGAGTAAAGGAATGCTTTTTTGGGTGGGGGGGTCGCTTATCTATGTTTTACACTGTTTCTAAACAGTTAATGAAACAAATAAAATGTATTGTGCTTTAACGCACCACAGATCCCGCTACTGCCCCATACAGCGTGACATGACAGGATCCGTGGAGCCAGTCCCCAAAGCAGCGTTTCAAGTCAGCGTTGATGTCGCTATCGCCTACAAGTAGGCTTTGCAGGAAGCTGCATAGATGTTGTCGACAAGTACGGGTTTCTGACGCATATAAATCCATCAAAAAAAGTCAAGAGACGCATAGGCTACGTTGCATACGGTACATTGTGAAGAACAGTCTCATTTTCATTAACTCAACCTTCTGGCTGTTGTCTTCTTAAGTTTCAGATTGAGTAATATTGACCACCTACTTCCTCATGTCACTATTAGTCTTTGTTGTATTCAAAGCAGTCTGTTACATTACTGATTTACATTGGAAAAACCGAAAATGACTCCGGACTAAGAATCGGGGCAGGAGAGAGGATCTTCTGGTCAGTGAGTTTTACTGTTTCTCATATATCATCTATTATTATCTATGCATTGCACGACTAAATTTCTATTGTTATTGTACATCCTGCAGTATAATGACTTCTCTTCTTTTCTGGGTATACATACATCAGCTTTAGTGTGAATGTGGTGATGACACTGTCTGATTCTTGATCTCACAGCAACACTGTTTTATGTGTGAAGAGGAACTTATTTTTCCCTCATGCTGACAAGCACTGGCTTGGCTTGTTTCTTCTTAGACTCTAGTTTCAAAGTAATATTTATAGCACAATGGAAAATAATAAATGCACCAGTTTATTTGAGCGTTAATTTCCCCTGTGTGCATTTGATATCTGAAGTTACTGTGGCAACATGAGGTAAAAACATCTCAAATTACATACATCTTTACTCAGCCCACAGGACACATAGTCTGAAAATTAAAAGTTGGAAAACATTAGTTAAAGCTATTATAATCTCATACAATCTATAATTCCAGATGTTTTTAAAAGGATTGTTTTACAAATAAATCCTGATATCTGGCCTCTGTTTTAGATTAATATCTGATGAGAACCTCTTCAGCATCACATTTGCCTAATTAAATAATTTAAGAGAATTGTAAACCACTTGAAAACTTGAAAACATTATTTATTCTGACGTCAAACAAGGACCAGCTCTATTTTCTGATGTACTATTCTACACAAAACTGAATGGGTTACAAAGACATACATATCGTATCATACTGTAAGATGACTCACAGCACCCTGATATTTTTATTAGGGAGCCAGAGTCCTGGCCCCTCCTAGCCTCTGTTGCACTTGTGTCTGTAAGTCAGTTTTCAGAGGCACAGAGTCTAGTGAGGAGGGAGGGCAAGTCGACTTTAACTCTGTAGCACTACATGCAAATCTGTGGTTCACTAATTAAGTTAATTGTTGTGTTTTACATTCACAAGATTTAATATTTATTTACATGACAACATTTAAAAGTTAAACTACTGAGGTGTTTCTGTTACATGCGTTGATAATACAGACCCGGGCACAGAGTAATGCACAGGCATCCAGGCTTTTTTTCTCATATAGCATTTTGAAAGAACACATCATTAAAATGTAGGCACTGTGGACGCACACACATGCACAAATAAACAATAAATTGTTAGTGTATGGTGTAACATGATTTGAGCAGGGCTGGAGACAAGAGGAGGGCGCAACTTCTGATTTTAATTGAAAATATAATTATTCTACATGTTGTGCTCCCTGCAGTTTGGGATCTTACTTAAAATGGCCGAATACCCTGTGCAGTCCACTTAGCAGGGAGCTACTGGGAGATCAGAACACACCCGTACAGAAACACAACCTCCTACATGTAGAGACAAACCTAACATTCAGAAACACACAGATTTTCAACCTGAATCCTTTTATACTGTTGTAAGGACGTGAAAATTCCTCCTTTGCATCCCCTGCTGTAGTGTTGGCAAGTTTGACTCTTTTGAAAGACTCGAGTCACCAAATCTCGTTCATTAAAATTAACTAATCTTTTTTTGTGTCATTTCGTTCATTTGAACTAGGCTGGTTATTATTGCAGCCCTCTAGTTGGCGATTAAAAAACAGCTGCCTGGCTTGCTTTATTGACAAAGTATAATGCACAAATTCACCTCTTGATCACTCTCTATCATCATCTTGTGGCTCAGGAAGTAGAGTGGGTTGGCCATTAATCGGAAGGTCAGCGGTTCGATCCCTGGTTGCGTGTCGAAGTGTCCTTGGGCAAGATACTGAACCTCGATTTGCCCCTGGCGGCTATTCCGCCAGTGATGAATGTTAGTTTCCGTTTGTGCACTTAGGCTCAGTGTATGAATGTGTATGACTGTTGAATGCAATGTAGTGTAAAAGCGCTTTGAGTGGTCGAAAAGATGCTATACAAATATGGTTTATTTATATAATTACTATCTTTATCTCTAACGTGCTCATTCATAGAGTAGCCTAATGTCCCTATCTATGAGTAAAATATTATATTATCAGAATTGCGTATGTAGAAGTAATAAGCTTGATACACTATATGAATAAACACACTTATTAAAATTCAACCAACTTAATAA